GGAGATTATTGGTAGACTATAATAATCAATTCTATTTGACGAGGTCTGTTAATGCTTTAGCAAGGAGCTTATGAAATGACAGTATAAAATAAACTGGATGCAGTAGAAGGGAATGTACTATATCGAGTGGAGATTTTAAACAACTTCTGTTGAAACAACCAAGTGGTGGAAGTTTAAGATCATGGAGCCGCCATGTACCATAAAGATGAACTTTGATATCGATTTAGAGACTAACAAAATTGATCGAGATGGAAATCATTGTATTGAAGGTATGATTTCTTTCAAATATAAAGTTAATCATCAATGATTTCATACCTTGTGTTTTGTACATTTGCTTCAGGTAAAAGAAGCATGCGTTTCTTTCTTTACATTGTTTTGTTGGTTGAATGGTGAAACAATTCCTAGAGGGATTAGCATAATCATAATTGGGAGCATTGGCAAATGCTAAGTGGTCCTTTTCTACTGAAACAAGAAAAAAAGGTGAGTAAAAACGAATTTCTTATAAATTATTTGTCTTCCATTATTATACAATTTGTTGATTAATATCATTATTTTATAAATTTATTCCTTATTAGGATTATAAAGGATACATTAACTGATCTATCAGCTATGGGTATTACTAGGTCAAGCTATGTCGACTTCACTCCAAAGAGAACTTATTGAACTTTGTTTGGTAAACAATGTTAGAATTGGAACCGAACTTTATTTGATTAGGCACTGACATTTGTTCAACAAATAAAACAAGTCTTGCTTATTGCTGATTCCCTATTGATTAAATTGGTAGATTGATTGGATGCTAAAGTACATTTGTGACGAAATTAAATTTATTCATCTTATAATACATCGTAAATTGTTATGTTCTTCTATGCTTTATTTTTTATATAATGAATTATACCAAATTATATATGTAAGTGATGAATGTAGAAATTGATGTTTGGGTTTATGGTTAGATCCAATGTAGGTAGAACATGCAAGGGTATTTAAGATTCATAAATTATAGACCATAAAATGTGCAAAAACATGCTTTCTTGTAAACTGGTAAATGAGAGAATTAGAAAATAAATGATAATATAATGTTCTTATAATATAATCTGGTAAATAATTTTTTTGATGTAAGTAATCACATTGAAAACAAATCACTCCCAATTTGCACAAACATGAAATAAAATGTATTCAATCACCTACCTCATGTTATATATTTAAAAATGCGTCCTTACCAGGCTATTAGATAGCATTTTTAGTGGATGAATATCTTATGTAAATGCATTTAAATGCTTTTGCATCCAATTTACCTCGTTATTTATCAGTATTGACATATGATACACAACTAAAAAAATTTGTTGACAATGTAATGCTGAAATTTGTTTGTGGAAATAATTTAGCGTGGTAGTTTAGAGGGCTTTCATAATTAGTTACTTTAAAATATTTTCTACTAAATAAAAATGTGAAGATCATGGTGCAAGTTCTTCTCACAAAAAAAAAGCCTAATAACCTCATGGAGATGTTTATCTTTTCTTTCTACCAATGCATGTTATCATGGTGATAACAGTTGGAAGGATATGCCTCACAGTAGATTATATTTTAAGAAGGTATACTTATATCATTTGAGTGCAATTAACAATAGAGATATGAATCCTTTATACGTTGAGATATTCGGGATTCTTAAGGGTTCTCAAATATCAAAGTGGATTAAATAATAAGAAAGTTGATGATCTCAATTTCCAAGTGAATTTCACCTTATGGCATTTAATAATCTTATAAATGTCACAATGGAAATACTCAACATCATCATCTCTGAATAATAAAGTGAACAAATATTTTAAATTTTGAAATGGCAGATGTCCTAACTGATAATGATGTCCTAAAATATCATCATTATTTAATTTAATAGAGATAAATGATATTTATTGATATGATCACTCTTGTTTTCAAGTAAAACACATCCTTTTTTCTTCCTTAATCATCTTTCTCATCATTAGATCCTAAAAATATAATCATCAATTAAGAGAATAACTTAATTATTTTGAGTTATGGTTGATTATATCAATATTTAATATAACTTGATAAAGAACATGCAGCATGTTGCTAAGGGTGAATGAAGGGGAAAAATTTATGTTCCCTTAGCTTGAATAAGTGGTTTAGGAGTCATTCACTATTTCGTTTGATTTTCTTTTTTTATATATATCTAGGATAATGTTGTTTGGTTAGATTTGGTGTGGGAACCTTAGTAACCTGCAAGAACA